ATGTCTTTTATTGATAAATAAACATTTATTACAGAGTCAATTTTACAATAATTGATTGACTCTAGAACATTTACTCTAACAATCTAAAGCCCTTGATGGGCGATCTATTTATGACACATTTTGCAGATTGCCATTTTGATGAGACAACATTCCCATCTTTAGGGAAAAAGGTAAAGCCTCCTAAAGTAAGGCCTAAATTTTCCTGGAAAGTGAATTATATGTCTTATTTAGATCCTCGCACATCTCAATCCGAAATTGAGGTACAAAGAATAATACATTTGCAAAATACTGCCAACCAAATGTCTGATGCATGTACAAATGCAGCAAAAATAACAAGATCATAAATTCTTTCTGTCAATACACCAGCAAGGATTGATGTTACCAATGAACAATCCATGCGGGCAACAGTCGATTCATCTATTACATGCCAGAAGCGTGGTAGGCCTGGAGCCAAGAATACTGTTCCTAGGAAACAAAAGGCACATAATCAAATAGATTTCAATATTGAAAATACTGGAATAATAGATAATTCCACATCTTCTAAACTAACTCCAGAATAGTTAATAGTCCCTGAATAGACACAAACCCCTAAAGAGGAATAAATCTCTGAAGGAATGTAAGAACATAGAAATGAACAAATTTCTATAAATTATGCTCAGAGCAAAGAAATGTGGAGTCATAAAACAACTTTTGTTGATAACATAGTTTTATACGTAGTAGCTACTGAAATTATGAATGACGAGTTTGAGCCACGTTTTATTGATAAATGTCGACAAAGACACAATTGGCCAAAATGGGAAGAGGTAATTCAAACAGAATAAACCTCCCTAGCAAAACATAATGTATTTGAACCTGTAGTCCAAACGCCTAAAAATGTGAAACCCGTAGGATACAATGGGTATTCATAAGGAAACAAAATGAGAAAAATGAGATTACTAGGTATAAGGGCAGACTAGTGGCCTAAGGTTTCCTGCAGAGACTTGGAATTGACTTTGATGAGACGTATGCACTAGTGATGGATGCTATCACATTTTGATACTTGATTAGTTTATCAGTCTTAGAAAGACTTGATATGCGTCTCTTGGACATTGTCATTGCGCATTTGTATGGTACACTGGATACTGATATCTATATGAAAATCTCTAAAGGATTCAAAGTGTCGAAATCAAATAAAAAGAACATGTATTCAATAAAATTGCAAAGATTGTTATATGGGTTGAAACAAGTAGGACGAATGTGGTATAATCGTCTCAGTGAATATCTAGTGAAGGAATGATACATCAATGATCTTGTATACCTGTGTGTCTTTATAAAAAGGTCAGAATTAGGATTTACAATTGTGCCAGTATATGCCGATGACATGAACTTAATAGGGACTCCTGATGAGGTCACAAAAGCTTCTGAATACTTTAAAAGAGAATTTGAAATAAAGGATCTCGGGAAAACAAAGTATTGTCTCGGCATGCTGATCGAGCATTTTTCAAATGGAGTTTTGCTCCATCAATCAAATTATACTAAACAAATCCTAAAGCAATTTAATATGGATAAATCTCACCCCTTGTGTACCCCACTGGTTGTTCGATCTCTTGATCCTAAAAAGGATCCACTTCATCCTAAAGAAGACAACGAAAAGATACTTGGTCCTGAAGTACCATATTTAAATGCAATATGTGTATTATTATATTTGGCACAATGTACGAGACCAGACATAGCGTTTGCAATGAATCTGTTAGCAAGATTTAGCTCTGCACCAACTCACCGACATTGGAATAGGATCAAACATGTATTTTGTTTCCTAGTGGAACAAAAGACTTGAGATTATTTTATCCAAGGAAATATGTCAATGATCCTAAATTAGTTGGCTATACAGATGTTGTGTACCTTTCCGATCCTCACAGAGCCTGCTCACTGACGAGATATGTTTTCACTTATAATGGTACTACAATATCACGTCGCTCTACAAAACAAACATTGGTTGCCACTTCCTCCAACCACTTTGAAATTCTTGCGCTTCATGAAGCCAACCGAGAATACGTATGGTTAAGATTTGTCATCCATCATATTGAAAGTACATGCAAATTGCCATGTATCTTAGATGCTCCCACAATTATAAATGAAGACAATGCAACATGTAATGCTTAAATCAATGGAGGATATATCAAAGGAAACAAAACCAAGTATATTTCACCGAAGTTCTTTTATACTCACGAACTCCAACAAAATCGAGAGAATGATGTCGAACAAATACGCTTTAGTGATAATCTTGCAGATTTATTCACTAAGGCCTTATTGACATCAACATTTGAAAAGTTAGTGTATAAAATCGGTAGTCGATGGCTCAGGAAATCTCTAAATTAATTCCACCATTATGAGGAGGAACATTAATCAAGAGAAACATAGATTAGGGGGAGTTTTTTGGGAAAAGTTTATTGTACTAGACATATGTACACTGTACTCTTTTTTCTTGAATCAGTTTTATCCCACTGGGTTTTCTTGACAAGGTTTTTAATGAGGCAGTATGAAGTACGTCCAACTTCACGTTACAGTCTCATTGTAAAATTGTATTTCTTTACTTAGGTTTTTCCCCACTTGGTTTTTCTTAAATAAGGTTAAATACAATTATCTGTAAGTGATGGACGTCCAAGGGGGAGTGTTGTAAATTATATATCCATCCACTGCCTTAACCTTGAGGCAGTGAATGGGGGGAGGGGAGTTGGCTATAAATAACCCCCCTTCCCTTCATTTTTATAGAATATTCATTTTGAGAAAGTAAAGGAATATTATAGTGCTTCCTCCATCTTTATTTTTTGCATATTTAGTCCTTCTAATCTATCACACTTGTACCACTAAAATTACAACATATATATCTATATAGCAAAAAAAAAATAATGGAGAACCAAAGGAAGATTTCAGCACATGACTAGCAATTTTTTTCAAAAGTCAAAAGTAATGTCCACTTGTAACCAAAAAGCACTCATGTGAAGTTACAGGAAGTACACTTGTAACCAAAAAGTAGGGCTAGGCAAAATTATCTGTAACTCGAACTGAACATGTTACCTGAACTGAACCGATTTGAAAAATTTGGATACTCGAAAATTCGGTTCGAATACGAGTACTAATGTAAGGGATACTTGAATATTTGGTTTGAGTACCGAGTTATTTGTAAAATTAATCGGGTACCCAAACCGAACCAAAATTAAAAATATATATAATTTTACTACACTAAAAACAAAAGCCCCAAATTGAGTCTAAACCTAAAATTCGACTAAAACCAAACAAAACCACTCTAGACTCCAATAAACATCTTTTTCTTTGCCAATCTTGAATCCTTCCCATCGACCATCACTTTTGTCCGTCGTTCTCACTCCAACCAGTAGCTGCTCGTCACCTATCAGTCATCACTCTTCCTCCTTCTGTCATTCTCGATCTAGCCGACAACTGCTCGTTGCCTGTTGGTCATCACTCTTCCTTCTTTTGTCGTTCTTGCTCCAATCGATAACTGCTTGTCGCCTCAGTCCGTCGTTCTTTCTCTAGACTCCAGTAAACATCTCCTTATTTTGTTGTCATCGGCTTATGACATTTACACTGCAGCCAATGGCCTCACCTCACTACCTTCCTTCGGGTACTTGATAACCGAACCAAACACCCCATAGATTTGTTAATTTAACTAAACACCCCTCAATTTTTTTTTTTAAGAAATTGACAAAAACACCCCAATAACCCACATTTGCTAGATTTCGGCCACCACCGCCGAAAGCTAGCCGGAATTTGGTATAATGGCGCACTACCGGCTGGATCTGGCCTATAGTGCGCCAATCTAGCCTTTTTTTGCCGTAGCTAGTCTTCAACGACGACCAAGATACGTCAGTAGTTGACGACCAAATACGGCCAGATCTGGCCGTCAATGGCCAGATCTAACATTAAATCTGGCCTTTTCCAACCAGATACACTATGGATCTAGACGGAAAATGCCATATTGGTGCACGACCGGCCATATCCAGTTGATTGTGATCCGATACGGTGACTTCGGCCACCCTTCGACGGTAGTGGCCGACTGTCGATATTTAATGGGTGAGTGGGGGTGTTTTTGTTAGTTTTTAAAATTTTATTATAATGGTGTTTAGAAAATAAACAAACCTAAGGGGGTATTTTTGTTAATTTCTAAATCCTATATTGTGATAACCATCTAATTTTACTTTCTTCAAAATATTATTCTAAAAAACATCATAATAATGAACCAAGTGCACCCCTCATTTTCAAAGAATATAATTATGCAAGTTGTATTAAAATCTCAACCATCTAGAGTGTTTTAATCCAATGACTTATAAATTGTATTAAAAAAAGCGGTACTCTTGACTCTGCCATAAATATACATATAAGGAAACAAATTAAATCATAAATGCTCAATATAAGGAAACAAATTAAATCATAAATGCTCAATATAAGGAAACAAATTGAAACCATATAATTACATGATAAGTATAAGAAAACAAATTTAAACTATAGATACTATTTAATTAACGATATTATTGATCATCATCTTATATGATTTATGATGTTGTTGTCTAACTCATTAGATGGTGCTTAATAATCCTTATATATCAATTACCAAGTTTAATTATAGAGATTTCACGAAAGTGACAAACATATATCATCAAGTTTAACGATAAAGATTTCATGAAAATTTTGAAAACAATATCTTTTAACGAGCTACTTTTTTGGTATATCCTCTCCAATAATAGTCGTATTACTGCTAACCTTACTCTCATGTAGGTTGTGATACTTGCCTTAATAATATGAAATTATATGTACCTAAAATAACATTTTTACATATGTTTTGAAGAATTGCAATTAAAAATTATTTCATTAATTTTTGGGGAAATTGTGAAATGGGCCCTTTGAATGTAAAATTATGGGCCTAATAGTAGAGAGCACTAGGCCCATCAATTCCTTATTGTTATTACGAAAACAAAAACTAGGGTTTTGAACTCACCCACCCAGCTGTATATAAACACTTGCAGAATTAAGCCAGCCCTCTTTCACGTAGAGTACCTCGTCTTCACTCTTCAGAAGCTTGAAACAAAATGGTAATCTTTCTATCATTTTCTTTACATTTTCTCAGCACCCAAATGCATGTAACATGTTGCCCTTTTGTGTTTATGTGGGTTTGTTTCGATGTATGCAGACTAGTAGCTTTGTGTAGGGTTTAGGGTTTTTGTGCTCAATTTTATATTTTGATTTGCTTGTATCAATCTTTGAATCATTTTGTGAAGTGGGTTTTGTTCGCTTTGGAGGAAAATGTTAGAAGTAACTTCTATATTTTGTGGTGTTCAATAAAAAATGATTTTTTTTTCTTTTGTTGGTTCAATGGAGATCTGTTTATTTTATGTGGTTCAATTGAGCTTCGGTCTTGAGTATGCGAACTGCGAAGCCCGTTAATTTAAATTTATGACACTTAAGGTTGCATTAGTAATTAAATGTGGATTATGGCAACATGCAATTTGTCAATGGCTGATGTTACTGTTGTGTTGTGCAATAAGCCCGGGTTTGTTGATCAGATATCTTGGTTTTGGCTGAAGAATAAACAATATAATCTATGACCAGACTTTAGTCAGGTATCTACCTTTTTATATATGTTGGTTGATACAGTTACGAGTTTGGAAAATTGATGTTGTCTATCGTTACAGATGTGTTGATGCTATTCAAGCTCACATCTGTTCCATTTAGGCACTACATGATTTGCACTAGTGACACATAGTGTTTAATATTGATGCTAATGCACATTGTTCAAGTGTTTATTCTAGTCTTACTTTTGCTATAGCAGGATATAAGATGTGTTAAGAGTTTTTTTTTGGGTCAGGTTTCTGTAGTATATAAATCTCTGTTTATTTCAGGTTAGAATTTGTTGGTATATGCATGCAAAGCCATCATGATTCATGTCTTTGATTACTGTGGCCGAAGTTGTACTTGCAGTTTCTCTGATTGTGTAAATATTTGTTTGAAAGATGTACTTGACAAATGTTTTCAGTAAACATGAATTTTATTGTGTCTGTTGATCATTTGAGTGCTATGTTTTTACCATTGTGTCATAGCAATTTTTTTGTATACAAATGGTTGAGAATGCCCAAGGTCTTTATATCCTGCTTTTTTATCCACAGCCGAAGCAGATTCACGAGATCAAGGATTTCCTTCTTACTGCAAGAAGGAAGGATGCTCGTTCTGTTAAAATCAAGAGGAGCAGGGATGTGGTTAAGTTTAAGGTTCGCTGCTCCAAGTACCTTTACACACTCTGTGTGTTTGACTCTGAGAAAGCTGACAAGTTGAAGCAATCTCTTCCTCCAGGTATAAGCTAATTTATTTTAATTGTATTTATTATGGTCTAATGCATAATAATGTCTGGTTGTTTTCATCATATTGCGGCACATATGATTTGTTTTTCAAGGTGGTGGTGTTAAGTTTGTTTCTAAATTAATTTGCCCCTGGATCTATGTTTTCCATAATACATATCATGTTTGTTTAATTTATTGCACCTGTTGATGTTATAACAACAATGTTCTGGAAATTATTTCTGAAATTTTACTTGTGTCTGTTTGTAATTAACAAGGCTTCATTATCTGGTCATTGTGGATCTTAACCATTCCCATTTGACTCGTTCCCTTGAAGCAATAGTAATTGTGTTGCTTTTCCAATATTTACCCTCAATTCTTTTCTTGTTAGCTTTGGGGAAACGGTTGAGCAACTATATATTCCCCCTAATGCCTCCAGGCATTTCAGCCATGGATATTGCATTTCTCATTGTTTCGAATATACTATGCTCCTAATGTTTCGAAGTGTAGGCTGGGTTACTTATCTTTGTTTCTTTTTTTCAATCTTCAGGTTTGAGTGTGCAGGACCTGTGAAGAAATTGTCTGATCTAAAGAAAGCAAACTTTAATCAGTTGGTTTGATCAGAAGTGGAAGAAATTTTGTTTTGTGCATTTTGGTTCTCTCTCTCTCTGTGTTTTTTTCTAGCCCTTAATATCAAAGAGTGTCATGATTAATGTTATTGATTTCCATTAGTTGTGGTTCACTTTCTTTACTATTTGCCATGAGTTTATTGACTGGAGTTGTATATCCGTTGAGTATTTTTAATTATTCAAGTAAGAAATTCGCCCTTTTCATGTTATGTGCTTTGATTTTTATATATTTTACATAAAGGGTTAAGAATCTGTATATTGAAAGTTGAAAATTCCCGCTTTCGTATTGAGTCACTTTTCATGAAATTTTTTTTAACATTGGGCTGGCCACTTGGGGCTTCACTTGAAAGTGTACTAAAAATATTTTTGTTGAGGTAACCCGCACGCCCACCCAAAATCAAAGGAACTAGAACCGGAATCAGAATTTGGAACCAGAATCCAAACTATTGATTCAGTTCCTACAAACTTGGAACCGTGAAAAATATCAATTACCCTTTTTTAAAAAAAAAAATGATAAATAAACTTTTATAAAATTATAGTTACATCCTTAGCAATTAAGTGCAAAACGTTAAATAATATATTTATTTATATTTACTTGATGTTTAGTGCTTGATTATAAATATTTAATTGTTTGTTTTCGTCGATAATAAACATTTAAAAGCTATTGTTTAACGTAAATGTTTTAATGTATATTAATTTCTTAATTCAGTAATAATTGAAACTTAAATATTAATAAGAATATTTTAAAAAATTGGTATTTTAATGAAAATTAATAAGACTTTTGATATTAAGATAAAAAAACCAAATTTTTTGTTCGTATATTTATATGATACAAAAAATATCAAAAGAAAATCCTTATTCTTTAATATTATATTAATTTAGTCTTGGTTCTCGATTCCCGGTTTCGGTTTCGATTCCTTTGATTTAGAACTCGAGTCAGAACTGCATAGTATTGGTTCTAATTTTTTGTAATTAGAGCCTACCCTGTTACGGTTGATTCCGGGTAGGAACCGCAACTGACACTCGGGTACCCATCGGCTCTGGTTCTACCCTAAAATTTTGCCCACCCCTAGTTTGAGAGGAAGTGTTTTTTAATAAACAACCTGGGGTGGAACCTGACAAAGTAGTCAAGGCTTGAGTTAATCGGTTTGATCAACCAAGTGTTTAAAGGTTTGAAATCCAACAAAAATACTATTAAAAATTACATATAAGTCCTTACTGTTTGAAATCTTATAAAAACATTTCAAACACGATCATCAGTGTCGACAACCTAGGGTAAATAGGGTCTGTTTTTTGTGACAACACTCCCCATCACCACGAAAACATTAACCAAAACTCATTTCACCCCTTTCCCATTCGCCTTGTCAATCGTCGGCAACAACCTGCTATTGCCATCAATTTATTTTTTGAATTTCCGGTCGATTCACTCATCAAAAATCACCTTCGTCACCATCTTTGCACTCACTAACCCTTTCTCTTCAAAAACCCTAACATTCTAACCATCAATTGTCCGTTGTTGTCCTAAGTTCTAGGGTTTTTGACGGTGTTTTAAAACCTAACCAGAGCTGAAACCCTGCAAAGTTGTTGGGTCTCAGGTTGACCCGTTTAACTAGTTTGACTAAAGATTAAATCGGTTGACAAAAACTTTTAAAATATAGCAAATACACCCTTAAATATTATGTTCAATCCCTATAGGTTTAAAATTTAGAAAACACACCCCAAATACAAATCAGCTAACGACTGGTTGGAGGCAGCGACACCCCAAATGCAACCCCAATCGTCCTTGAGCCCATTCCACTGAAAATCTATCCAAGATCTAGCCGAAATCAATCAATTTCGGCCAGATCTCACTAACGCCTGTGTCGGTATTCCAAGCTAGATCTCACCGATGTTGGCGCCCTCCCCATCATCCCAAAAATACTCTTCTCTTCCTTCCAACCAAAACCCATGTCATCGTACCCCTGTTAGCCTTAACAATCATCGACAAAAGCCGTTTGTTGCCGTCGCTAGTTTTTTTTTTATTTCTGGTCGATTTACTCACTAAAAATCAACTCTATTGTCATCATTGCACTCTTGGCACTTTCTTTTCAAAAGCCCCAATATCTCGGCTATTAAACTCAGTCAAATAAAGCTTTTGGGTCCCTATTAAACTGGTTGGCCCGGATCGGGATTTTAAAACATTGGTTTTTTATAAATACTAAAATTAATAACCTACCTCGGTGAAGGCCTTGAGCTTCGGTTGAATCGGCCAGGTTTTAAAACATTGATCATATGTTTGAAAAAATGTTTTATCAAACAAATGGATCAGGTCATTTGTACTTTATCCAATATCTCATTCAATCATTTATGCACTTTTTTTTTTTTTTGTTTGTTTGTTTAATATCTGGATGGTGGGCTTATCGTATTACCAAAGACTTTCTCCTCTACATGATGTTAGATCATATTAAATGTTGCTGATCGCTTAGGACCTATTACATTCAGTTTGCATTAATAATATTATTCTCGGAGACTTTCTCTTCTGATGGTGCTTAAATTCCGATATCTTAGGATCTAAATTTAGTTGCCTTTTAAAATGGTGGTTTGGTCATGACTTTTCGATCTTTAAATTAGTTTATACATGTGATGTATTACTCCTTTGTGGAGCTTAAGCATACGAAGTTTTTTTTAACTTGAAAATAGAAATCTTAAAGAAGAAGCAAGCTTGCATTATTTATTCATTTTTTTTTACTTAAAGAATTGAAATGTCACAACTCTTAAAAGTGCTTTTTAGCTGCTTCTAGTAAAAGCACAATTCCTAGTATATCCTCTTTAGATGTCATGTTTGGAAGCTTATCCATTTGACTTGAAATCACCCTTCTCAAGTAGAATTCATGCCCACCACAACTAATACTACACACTTCCTCTTCATTTCAGCCAAACACAGCCTTTTCAATGCCTTTCTACTCAAACGTGGGGTCAAAACAGGAATTGCAGTGTATAAATCAAGGGTAGTATTGTCCTAATCTGTTTAGATTGTAACAAATAAGAGAAAGTACCATGCAGAGTATAAATTCTCAATTGACAGTTAGGTGTAACGACCACATTCCCGTCAAAGACACGTGGCAATAAAAAAATATGTCACGATCATTATAAATATTTGTTAGGACCTTTTAGGTTGTATTATTTTCATTTTGGTCCACATCTTTTTGTTTTGTTTGTAAATCTTTCATTCTTTCACGTAATTGATTCTACCCCTGCTTCATAATTATTTTTCTCTTTAAGCATTTTAGGGGAAAGTAAGAAGCATCTTTGAAACTCTATGCAATAATTTTCTTTACATGGTTATAAGCATAAATAAAAAAATTAAAATTAAAATATTATGGGAAAAAAAATCATATTAAATGACCTTCTAGATTATTGTTTACATGGTTTAATTAAAGTTTGACATAAATCTATTAAATAGATAAGTCAAAAAGTTATTGATAAAAGTCCTGAAAGAGTTTTGAAATTGAAATGTGTTTAATTTGATGTGATGTACACTAGGATAAGGGGACTAATTTGATGAATTTGAGAATATCAGTCCAAAAAAATTTCTCTATTTATTGTAATAAAAAAGATTTTTTTTTTTTAATAATCGAGATCTTCCAGCCAGTTTGTACTCATTTTAACTAATTTTAGAAGCTTATTGAAGCTCCTATAAGCCCAATGTTTTAAAGTAAGCTATAAATGTGGTAGGTGACCTCAAAGGTGATTCGAACTTAGAAAGTCAATGAAAGGAACAACTCTTCTTGATTATCTAGCCAACCTCTTAGGGTTAAAAAAAAAAAAAAAAAATTCAAACTTGAATAATAATAATTAAAAAGATTTTTTTTTTAATATAATGAAATTTGTATTTATAAACTCTCAAACATTTCTTATTTATTAACAAAAAATATTTATCAAAAGTGAATAAATTTTGTTTATGAAAAGTGAGTAAAATTTATCCTAAAAAAGATGGGACAAAAGGAAAATTCTAAAGTTGAGAGGCTGAATTGAGATTTAGTCTTCTTCTTCAGAACGCTCTTTTAAGTCTCTCAGACTCTCACTCAGTGACCAACCGCCTAATCTCGCAACTTTCCAGAATATTATAGGCAAGACCCGACTCGGTTCAGAATCCGATTTCAAGTCAGTTGGTTCAAGCCATGTTCGGAGACTTCTGCTTCTGCCCGTGTTTCGGAAACCGGAGCTCCGACAATGCTACATCCGACGAACTCGACCCGGTTCTGCTGGTTTCGGGTATAGGAGGCTCCATTCTCCATGCAAAGAGGAAAAAAAAGGGGCTTCAGACCCGGGTTTGGGTTCGGATTTTGCTGGCGGATTTGGAGTTCAAGAAGAAGCTTTGGTCTCTTTACAATCCAAATACAGGTTACATGTGAATGCATACATGAAGTTTCTTCTCTTCTTTATTTTTTTTTCGGGTGTTGTGTTTGCTTAGCTAGAAAGTGGAGGAAAGATTGCTATAGAGAGGGAAAAGTGATGGGTTTAGTTCAAAAATTGAATTTTTCTGTGAAAAATTTGTGCTTTGCATTTGATGAAAGTCAACTTCTTGTTGAAGTAGTGTAGCAAAAGAAAATATGGAATTTCTTTTTCTTTTTCTTCTTTTTTAATTATTTGATTTCAGTTTCTGTTAAGTTTTTAAAGCTAGTAAATGAAGTTTATGAGCACTATGGTACATTGGTACGGTCTGGTAACAAATTTTATTTATTTTTTTCCCATATTTTATCTGGGATTGTGTTAGGTTGGCCAGAAAGCAGAGAGAAAGACTGAGATAAAGAAGGATAGGAATATGGTTTGGTTAAAAATTTGAAGTTTCTGTGAAAAATTTGTGTTTTTAATTTGATGAAGGTTAGCTTCTTATTGAAGAAGTGTTGAAAGAGATGAAAATTTGTTTCATGGGTTGCTTGCTTTTTACAGAAAATTAAAAGGAAATGAAAAGAAAAGTAAAGCTTGAATGTTGGTGGGATTGTCATTTTATGATGTCTAGGTGACTGAAACCTTGTCAAATTTCGGCTTCTGTTTATTTCTTCAATTTTTGAACTACAAACACAGAGAATTGACCATTATTGTTAATATGTTTTTGTGGACTTATCATTTCAATGGATTAAATTTTTGTAATTTTTGGAAGCTGTAATAACATCTGATTTCATACTGGTTTAAATTTCGACTGTTTCGAGGGGGGAATGGTAACTTCAACCTTTAGGTCTCTTTCTCCCTTTGAATATTTGACTGGTGAAATCATTATTTGTTTAAGTTAAATTACTCTCTCTCTCCCTGAAGTTCTTTATCAGAGCACAAGCATATAAGCTTAAGTTTCGTTTGTTTTGTTTAACAGGTTATGTGGAATCATTGGATGATGACTGTGAAATTGTGGTCCCTGATGATGACTATGGACTATATGCAATTGATATCTTAGATCCATCATTTGTAAGATAATTCATTTTATCCTTGGATGCTCATGGTTTCTTGTTAAATCTAATGAATGCTTTTAATGATTTTGTAACTTTTCATCTTTATGCTTTTCCCTTAGAAGTTCATCAACGATCATGTAGTCACTCATATGATTGTGGTGTTTGATTTACTATAGAAAGATTGATAATCACTGGACTTCAGACCATGAAGACTTGCTCAAATGCAATGATAATGTTGATCTGTTCTATCCTCTCTAGGTCCAAATGCTTACTCCCATGGTTATGACATTGTTTCCTTCTCATCTACCATAGCTAGACCTTCTGATTCTTTGGCAGCTCCATTAGGTTTTGCCTTTTAAGGTGATGATCGCTCATTTTGGGATTTCAGTCTGATGTGCATGCCATATTTTTGGCTCATTTTGTGTGTTAACACAAATATTGTCTTGTCCATCAATTTTTTATTTGTATCTTAATCATGAAATAATACACAAATGGGAACAGTAAGTTTAGTGATTCATATGCAAATTATGGTATTTTTTGGAGTCAAGGATGCACCTTTTATCTTGCAAACTCTTATTTTTTGCATTTATTACTCATTCTATCGAACAAATTCTCAGAACAAGTATTTCTGTTTCTTAATTTTGACGTAATAGTATTTCTTGATATTCCAGTTTATAAAACTTATACATTTGAAGGAAGTATATCATTTTCATGATATGATAGACATGCTAGTTGGATGTGGATATAAAAAGGGAACGACATTGTTTGGATATGGTTATGATTTCCGGCAAAGCAACAGGTAATCATCTTCAACTTTCATCATTTGGTGCTTAAACTGGTCATTTTAGCTCTATAGATTTCTCAAGTGATCTCTGATTACTCAAATATCACAACAGTTCCTGATAACAATTGAAATTTCCTTGCTCTTGCTCGAGTAAATTTGAGTATCATGTTGTTCTATTGTTGTTAGGATCGACAAGTTAATGGAAGGTCTTAAAGTAAAGTTGGAAACTGCATACAAAGCTTCAGGGAATAGAAAAGTTAATATAATTTCGCACTCAATGGGAGGGCTGCTAGTGTTGTGTTTCATGTCGCTTCATAAAGATGTACGCATATTATAACTTGGTGACATGTTGGAACAATATCAAAATACAGAACTAGGTGCAAAAATTTTAATTACTATTGTTCATGAATGATGATAGGCACAAAATTAATTAAAACATTCATCTGCAGGTATTTTCCAAGTATGTAAGTAAGTGGATTAGCATCGCATGCCCTTTTCAAGGTAATTTCCTTTTCATAATGCTTTTTGAGTTAACTGAAAAGTATTCTCATAATAGGCTGCTTGTATAAGTTAGTTACTAGAGGAATGTTGATGGACTCTTACAAAGTGGCTGGAAAAACGTGTATTTCTAAAACTATAAATATCACTTTGGGATTTTTTTAGTTACTGAAATATGCTTTACAGGTGTACCAGGATGCATCAATGATTCTCTGTTAACTGGATTGCAGTTTGTTGAAGGCCTTGAAAGCTTCTTTTTTGTATCAAGATGGACTATGCATCAACTGGTAATTTTGCAATTTAATTTCATGGCATAATATATAAGAAAGGATGCTGAACAATATATTTGTATGTTGATGGAGATGATGATAGGTTTTCTTACATCAAACTTAATCTAATAAATAATACATCTTACTTTGCTTCATTCCATTTGTCTGTCTTATCAAATTATGTGGTTAAATCGTTGCTTGGATCTCACTCACATTTGGTGAAGTAAAAATATGATGCATCATTTATCTGTTTTCTGTTTATGCATAGTTGGTTGAGTGCCCATCAATCTATGAGATGTTGGCAAATCCATATTTCAAGTGGAAAAAGCAGCCGCAGATTGAAGTTTGGCGAAAGGAATCAAATGATGGAGAATCTCCTGTCAAACTGGAGACATATGGTCCACTTGAAAGTGTTGATGTATTCGAAGAAGCATTGAAGCATAATGAGGTACCATTACTAATATGGACTGTCTGTACGCATATATACCTGTTGTGAAATAAATATTTTTGAAGGATACAAATTGTATCCTTTGCTTGTTTCATTGAAGTTGTAGACCTTGTATTTTCGCATTTTTGTGTACATAAATTTTATAATATAGCATGTTTTCTTACCTGCTTGTTGCAGCTAAGTTATGGTGGGAATAAAATAGCTCTACCCTTCAACTTTGCGATTCTCCAATGGGCTGCTGATACTCGCCAAATCATGAATAATGCTCAACTCCCAGATGGGGTCTGTTTCTATAACATTTATGGAACATCATATGACACACCTTTTGACGTCTGGTAAGTAACTGAACCAACTGCACCACTACATGAAAATAGAATTAGAAATAACCCTTTTCATATTATGAAGCACATCTGAAATTTATCTTTAATGCAGTTATGGTTCAGAGACCTCTCCAATTGAAGACTTTTCTGAAATTTGCCACTCAATTGTGAGTAATATAGTTCTCTAAGATCTTGATTTACCGTATTTTTAGTACAGTCCGGACTCCGGATAGTATGAGTGTTCTCTCTAACTTCTCTACTCGTAAGTCATGTAACCCAACACAGCTCATTTGGGATGTGGTATGCATGTTCGATAATTTTTTTTTTTTTTTCTTGAAATATCTTGGTAACGATAAAGGCGATTTTTTTTTTTTTTTTTTTAATGTTCACAATCTCCTTGTGTGCGCTCGGAATCAAAATTACAGTAATTGGTAAATAATCATTAAAGATATACCATGCCATTGATCTCATGGCCCCATAAACTTAGTTGCAAGTATATTTTACTTCTCAACTTATCAATTGTGACATATTTCTCATACTTTTTGTTTGTTCCAGCCCCAGTATTCTTATGTCGATGGAGATGGAACGGTTCCTGCCGAATCAGCTAAGGTGCTCTTTCTGTCCTTCCATTAAATTTTCATATACATAACCTGAAGTTATCTGAAGAAACTCTGCATGATCCAACTGGAAATTATGAGGCTTTGAGTAATTGATCGTTCTATTTACTCCTCAGGCGGATGGATTTGGCGCAGTTGAGAGAGTAGGAATTGCTGATACTCACCGGGGACTGTTGCGAAACGAAACTTTGTTTCAACTTATCAAAAAATGGTTGGGAGCTGAGCAGATCAATAAGCATTCAAAAACTTCAAGAGTGGCAGATGCTCCAATTCAGCCTGTACATGTATGAAATTTTTTTTCTTCTATCTTGAACATGTTCTTATTTTGTAATTAGAGTGAAACACTACAAAATCAAGCTTCAAAGCTAGATAAAATTTGTTGTTGTATTTATGTTCTAATTATATATAGTGATTTCCCCAATCCAAGAGTTGCACATTGCACTCTTTTTCTTCATTAGAGCTGTATATTTCTCTTTCTGCAAAACAATGGCCATATAATCCATATTAACATGTAATTAGTAGAGTCAAAACAAGTAAAATTGAGAAGTCCAAAACAAACCCATAATATTGTGGCCCAGTGTTTATAATTTGCTTCAATGCACTACCAAAGCCCATAATAATTTAACCCCATTGTGATTTACTTGATCTTTTGGGTTTGTTAGATGCTCACTAAATCACGGAGATTAACTAAGGTGCGTGTAAGTTGACCTGAACCTCCCGGTTACCAAAAAAAATAAAAAAATTAATATTTTGAATACTTGTCTAATATTCTAGTTTAATGTAAACAAATAGATATACTCCATAGATGTTTGATTATCTTAGTTAATCCTTAATGTGGGGTTTATTTGATTACTCAATGCCTAATATGAGTTAAACTAATTACTGTACAGTTTATTTTATTTACCCTTACCCTCTTATGAGATTGCTTCATATGAAAAATTGATTGTTATTGGAAAAGTATTATATATATTTATTTAAAAAATATATATATCAAAAACCTTCTAATGAAAAAATTCTAATAAAGGATATATACTATTTTCCAATAATAGCATATGCGTTTAATATTAAACCATCTTGCGGCAGTAAATGAAATAAACTTGATTAATGTAAAAGATAATTTCGATTAGTGTTTCTTGTATGAAATTACAAAATATTGTCTAATATTTTTATAAATATTATGGTTCATCATTTTTGAGAAGATCTTGTTGCCCCTAAACACATGCCCATTTTCATATAATAACTAGCAATGATTAAAAGCTCCATTTTCATGCTTTGTTCCTCCAAATCCAAGGCCAATATGCACAACCTCCAATTATGTATATGTTTCCCAATCTTAATTTTATATCTATTTGAAAAGTTTTTCTAGTAATTTAAAACAATGGTTAGTAGTTAATCAGTAAATCAAATATTAAGTTTTCCTCAAAAAAAAAAAAAAAAAGGTTGTGGATTTGATCAGTTATTCAAATATGATTTTTTAAGACTTGGGATAATAAAAAATTATATATATAATACGGACATTTTGAAGTTTTTAATATACGGGTAAAGATAAAAGATTGGTTGCAAATAACTGGCATCTTGTTACACATTTCTAGTCAACTCAGTAAAAACTTGATGACATACTCCCTTTAGATATATCAATGTTTTAAAACTCGGCTCGGCCCGGTCAGTTGAACCGGGACTCGAGGCCTTCATCGGGTCGAGTTAACAATTTTCCTATTCACCGAAAACCCTAGAAATTGGGACGGTGATAGGCAAACAATTGAAGGTCGGGATGTTGACACTTTTGAAGAGGAAGGGTTGGTGAGTACAATAGTGACAGCAGAGTTGATTTCCGGTGAGTTAATCGATTGAAAATCGCAAAACATCGAGGGAGGGGTGATATGGGTTTTGGTCAGGAAGCTGAAAGGAGTGTTTTCGTGATAATGGGGAGTGTTATCGTTGCCGAAAACATGTCCTAATTTCTCTGGTGTGTCGATGCCCGATGATAGTGTTTGGGGTATTTTTGCAAGATTTCAAACTTTAAGGACTTATATGTAATTTTTTGGGGTGTTTTTGTTATATTTCAAACTTTTAGACATCGGTTTGACCAGGTCAACCCGAGACCCAGCCACTTGGCCAGGTTTCACCCCGGGTTGGTTATTAAAACACCTTATATGTTTGGTTTTATAGATTTATACTAATTTTTTTAAATATATTTGAAAAAGTATTGAATTTGAAATCATTTCAACTAAACATAAAAAACTAAAAATAAAGCCACTATCAGAAAAGCAATGCTTTGAATCCAAAACAAAATTCCCAAAAGCCAATCGTTTTGGATGCCTGATATGGACGGTGATTAATTGTGAACGAAAAAAACAAAGAGATTTGGATTCACTTGGGAAACATAAAAATGGCTAAATACATTTAACCAATACAGTACATAAATAAATATAAAATTTAATTTACAGTTGTTTTAAGAGTAAAATATTAAGAAAAATTCACCCTTAACTCTCACGCATAATTTTACAGTTGTACGTGTTCTTGCATGCTAGCTATTGGGCAATACAAAAAATATCTCAATTAATTAACTTAATAATAGCAATAATTAAATGCTTAAATCAAATATATAAAATTGCAACTTGGAGGAATACTATAAATAATGAAGGGTTTTGTATCCTTTTTCACTTAGATTATATATATAGTTATATAAGTAGATATTATTATTTATTTAAGGAATAAATGGCGTAAAAATCCCTATAAATTCTTAATAAAAAAATATAAATCAAGAGTACTATAAATCTAACTTTGATCAACCTGTTGACTATTGAGTAAAGTCTAATACGAATATAGGAATTGATGATCATAACCCATTTTAACTTTTAGTTTATGATATTCTTAGTATGGATAAATGGTGTTTATTTATTTATTTTCATTTTTTACAAAATTCTCTTATCTTTAATAGCCAATCAATTAGGCTTGTTATTATGTGATGTTATATTTTTATTTTTTTGGCTCGGAGTTTACAATTTGGAGTCTTTTTGTGTCGGTTTTTTTTTTTTTTTTTTTTTAATGTTCACAATCTCCTTGTGTGCGCTCGGAATCAAAATTACAGTAATTGGTAAATAATCATTAAAGATATACCATGCCATTGATCTCATGGCCCCATAAACTTTGTTGCAAGTATATTTTACTTCTCAACGTATCAATTGTGACATATTTCTCATACTTTTTGTTTGTTCCAGCCCCAGTATACTTATGTCGATGGAGATGGAACGGTTCCTGCCGAATCAGCTAAGGTGCTCTTTCTGTCCTTCCATTAAATTTTCATATACATAACCTGAAGTTATCTGAAGAAACTCTGCATGATCCAACTGGAAATTATGAGGCTTTGAGTAATTGATCGTTCTATTTACTCCTCAGGCGGATGGATTTGGCGCAGTTGAGAGAGTAGGAATTGCTGATACTCACCGGGGACTGTTGCGAAACGAAACTTTGTTTCAACTTATCAAAAAATGGTTGGGAGCTGAGCAGATCAATAAGCATTCAAAAACTTCAAGAGTGGCAGATGCTCCAATTCAGCCTGTACATGTATGAAATTTTTTTTCTTCTATCTTGAACATGTTCTTATTTTGTAATTAGAGTGAAACACTACAAAATCAAGCTTCAAAGCTAGATAAAATTTGTTGTTGTATTTATGTTCTAATTATATATAGTGATTTCCCCAATCCAAGAGTTGCACATTGCACTCTTTTTCTTCATTAGAGCTGTATATTTCTCTTTCTGCAAAACAATGGCCATATAATCCATATTAACTTGTAATTAGTAGAGTCAAAACAAGTAAAATTGAGAAGTCCAAAACAAACCCATAATATTGTGGCCCATTGTATATAATTTGCTTCAATGCACTACCAAAGCCCATAATATTTTAACCCAAAGGGATTAGTTTGGCGGTCAAAGAAGTTTGTTCTTTTCATTAATTTTCTGGGTTCAAACCTTTGAGTTACTTACCACATTGTGACTTACCTGATCCTTTGAGCTTGTCAAATGCTCATTAAACCACGGGAATTAGTTGACCTGAACCTTCCGATTACCAAAAAAAAAAAAAAATTAATATTTTGAATACTTGTCTAATATTCTAGTTTAATCTAAACAAATAGATATACTCCATAGATGTTTGATTATCTTAGTTAATCCTTAATGTTCATTTACCCTTACCCTCTTATGAGATTGCTTCATATGAAAAATTGGTTGTTATTGGAAAAGTATTATATATTTTTATTTAAAAAATATATATCAAAAACCTTCTAATGAAAAAATTCTAATAAAGGATATATACTATTTTCCAATAATAGCATATGCGTTTAATATTAAACCATCTTACATCAGTAAATGAAATAAACTCGATTAATGTAAAAGATAATTTCGACTAGTGTTTCTTGTATGAAATTACAAAATATTGTCTAATATTTTTATAAATATTTTGGTTCATCATTTTTGAGAAGATCTTGTTGCCCTTAAACACATGAATAGATAGATTGCCCATTTTCATATAATAACTAGCAATGATCAAAAGCTCCACTTTCATGCTTTGTTCCTCCAAATCCAAGGCCAATATGCACAACCTCCAATTATGTATATGTTTCCCAATCTTAATTTTATATATGTTTGAAAAGTTTTTCTAGAAATTTAAAACAATGGTTAATAGTTAATCACTAAATCAAATATTAAGTTTTCCTCAAGAAAAAAGGTTGTGGATTTGATCAGTAATTCAAAAATGATTTTTTTTAAAACTTGGGATAGTAAAAAAAATTATATATATAATACGGATATTTTGAAGTTTTTAATGTACGGGTCAAGATAAAAGATTGGTCGCAAATAACTGGTATCTTGTTACACATTTCTAGTCAGTTCAGTAAAAACTTGATGACATCCTCCCTTTAGATATATCAATGTTTTAAAACTCGGCTTGGCCTGGTCGGTCTGGGACTCGAGGCCTTCATTGGGCTGAGTTAACAATTTTCCTATTCACTGAAAACCCTAGAAATTGGGACAATGATGGGCAAATAATTGAAGGTCGAGATGTTGGCACTTTTGAAAAGGAAGGGCCGGTGACTACAATGGTGGCAACAGAGTTGATTTCCGGTGAGTTAATCGATTGAAAATCGCAAAACATCGAGGGAGGGGTGATATGGGTTTTGGTCAGGAGGCTGAAATGAGTGTTTTCATGATAATGGGGACTGTTATCGTCGCTAGAAACATGTCCTAATTTCTCTAGTGTGTCGATGCCCGACGGTAGTGTTTGGGGTATTTTTGCAAGATTTCAAACTTTAAAGACTTATATGTAATTTTTAGGGGTGTTTTTGTTATATTTCAAACTTTTAGACATCGGTTTGACCGAGTCAACCCGGACCCGGCCACTTGGCCAGGTTTCACCCCGGGTTGGTTATTAAAACACCTTATATGTTTGGTTTTATAGATTTATACTAATTTTTTGAAATGTATTTGAAAAAGTATTGAATTTGAAATCATTTCAACTAAACATAAAAAAACTAAAAATAAAGCCAATATCGGAAAAGCAATGCTTACAATCCAAAACAAAATTCCCAAAAGCCAATCGATTTGGATACCTGATATGGACGGTGATTAATTGTGAACGAAAAAAACAAAGAGATTTGGATTCACTTGGGAAACATAAAAATGGCTAAATACATTTAACCAATACAGTACATAAATAAATATAAAATTTAATTTACAGTTGTTTTAAGAGTAAAATATTAAGAAAAATTCACCCTTAACTCTCACGCATAATTTTACAGTTGTACGTGTTCTTGCATGCTAGCTATTGGGCAATACAAAAAATATCTCAATTAATTAACTTAATAATAGCAATAATTAAATGCTTAAATCAAATATATAAAATTGCAACTTGGAGGAATACTATAAATAATGAAGGGTTTTGTATCCTTTTTCACTTAGATTATATATATAGTTATATAAGTAGATATTATTATTTATTTAAGGAATAAATGGCGTAAAAATCCCTATAAATTCTTAATAAAAAAATATAAATCAAGAGTACTATAAATCTAACTTTGATCAACCTGTTGACTATTGAGTAAAGTCTAATACGAATATAGGAATTGATGATCATAACCCATTTTAACTTTTAGTTTATGATATTCTTAGTATGGATAAATGGTGTTTATTTATTTATTTTCATTTTTTACAAAATTCTCTTATCTTTAATAGCCAATCAATTAGGCTTGTTATTATGTGATGTTATATTTTTATTTTTTTGGCTCGGAGTTTACAATTTGGAGTCTTTTTGTGTCGGTTTCTGAAATAGATAAATTTTTTTTTTTTTAAATTATCCCTGAATGGTTTCATGGTTTGATAAGGATTATTGGATTGTATTACTCAAAAGATTTTGAGTTTGAGTCCCTCCTCGATTGATATTAGGGATAACCATTAGAGCTCTTACTCAACTGGTAGTTTCAAAGTCTTAGGAGATTAGTTGAGGTGCGTATAAGTTAGTTTGGACACTCTCGGTCATTAAAAAAATAAAAAATAAAAAAGATAATTCATTGCACGTAATTTATGACATTAAACAAAATCTAATAAAATAAAGGATCATAATTCGTTTTAACGTTCATTTATAAATTGCTACTTTCTTAAGTTGGGATGCTTTAGATTATGCACCAAAATTCTGTTATCTTTTAGGGTTTAAATATGTAATGTAGTACTAATTTTCTTTGTGGGTTTTAGAACTTTGATAAGGTTTTTGTGCCAGTTTTTGAAACAAATGATCCGTACGTAAATGATAATACCCGTTATTATTAATTATAAGTAAGTTCTGAAAAGGAAATGATAAGGGTGAATGAAAGAATTGTTAAGTGGAAGAAATTAACAATAGAGAGAGAGAGAGAGAGTCCAAGTCAAAAAGGGTTTGAATCCCAAAAAGGGTTTCGAAATAAACCCTACTGAACTTAGGGTTTCGTTCATGAAAATGAAGAGCCCGAGAAAGAGAGGAGAGAATGAGCATTCCTAGGGCGTGTTAGCTTATAAGAAGGATTCTATTTGCATTTGAGATGATGGATAGAGAGATTAGATATTGGAGAGACACAGACACGCATGACGCTTTCCATTATTTTACTATAACAATCAGACAAGATTCAGCTCAAATCCCACACTTTTACAAACACAACACAATCTCCCTCCCTCTCTCTCTACAAGCTTTATTTATATATTCATGATTTTAATGTTATTAGGTCCACAAATATTGTGTATTATAATCATAGTTTTTGATACTTGAATAGAAGATAAACCTATATTGGTAAGGGTTAATGTTATAGGATTATCATAATTACATGTCTACAAATCTTTTTTTTTTTTTTATCATAATTACATGTCTACAAATCTTTTTTTTTTTTCTTTTTATTATCGATGAACTTTCAATTATTGAGATGTATCATATAGTAATAACAATTTTAACAATTCAAAGTATTTAATAAAAAAAATATTTTTTAATAAATGAAACGGGTTTATAGTTCATATCATAATGTGGTTTACAAATTTATGTATGGTGTCATTAATCAATGTACCTCTTATTTATCAAAATATCAATATGATAACATATATATATATAGTTAGCATTAATATAACTACATTGTAACACGTTCTTCGTAACCATTAGGGTTGTTTAGATGAATCGTCGGTAAACCGTAATATCTTCACCTACATAGATGACACTCTTATATGATTAAGAACAAATTATTGTAGAAATTTTAATTATTTGACCTAATGAAGAGCAAGGCATGGGAACAAAGAAAGGATGTGGGCATGGGGTTGGATTTGGACCCTTTTTTTATATCTTTAATAAAGTTAGTAAATTTAATTTTCTTGGAAACATCTTCTACTTAATTTGTTTAAGGGAATTAAGAGGAGAGTGGTGTTGGAAAATTGCATGGATTCGAGTGCAAAAATATTGAAGAGAAATAAAGAAAGAGAAAAGAGATGAATGGGGGTTTATGTCTGGCAATATTCACGTAGAGAAATCAGAGGTTCTCTCTTGTCAAGAAGGCACGGGTGCTCCGCTGATTTCTCCAATGCAATCCCAGTTCCCACTGGCCCCTTTTTCTTGCTTTCAATTTTTGTTTAATTTAATTAATTAAATTTCTTTTTCTTGATTGATGTGCTCCAACATATGATATCAATATTTAATTATAATAAATTTGATATAAATATAAAACCCTTTTAATGCTTGTTCTCTTATGTTATGTGTCACACATTAGTTTAACTATATATATCTCCCCAATAAGACCAAATGATATCAATATTTAATAATAAACATATGGAATGTATATATATAGTTTCTTCTTTGTAATATATATAGTATCATTTTTTTGTTTCATTTGACTAGAAATCATAGATCTATTCATCGAAAAGAGAAAAAACCCTAATGAATGGATGCAATGGATCAACATCCTCTTCTATTTTGAGTTTTCCCTCGTCAAAATTTAAAATTGTATTTGACTATTAAGTAAAAGAAAAAAAATATAAACAATCTTAATTGCGCTTGTTAATATTGTATGTAAATATAGGATATTGTTTGTCTCTAGAAGATTTAAAGTTTGAATCCCCATATGGGTATTTACATGGTTAAAGACCATCCTTTTATGCTTCTAAAAAATTGTAAGATTTTAGGATAATGTTAATTTCATTTGAC